TAGCTTAGTCATCTTAACCCTTCTATTAATCAAACAAGTGGTAATCTAAGAATAAGACCACGCAAGGCCATCATCACCAAGCTCCCCCTTCGGCTTTCTATATAAGGGGTTCCTTAGGGGGAATTTTGCCCATTTTCCCTTAAGAGCGAGCAGCAAGCCTTCAGCATATAGTAGTCTTCTTCGCAGCAAATAAGTTCAAGCCAATTTCCCAATAATTTTCACTCCAAACGCACGGCAACCGCACGGCGAGCGCAAGGCCTTAAGCACACTTTGTTTCGATTTTCCGTCGAGCGTTCCAGGAGGTAATCTCTTTTTCAGTTAATATTCAGATTCATAAGGTCATGATAAGTCGAAGTGTTCGGATAAATTGCCGGAATTTCAGATTTAATTATGCTTAAGTCCGAGCACGCCTAAGTGAGATTATCGCCGAACAAGTTTTATTTTCTTTCGGCAACTCTCGAACAATAATCCTTTAAATGAACATTTAGATTAATTTAAGTTCAGCATGATCAGTTTTGTCGTAGTAAAGTGAAGAAAAGTCGATGACAAGGCCCCAGCCGATGCCCCCGCGCCTATCGCGCATAGCATCGAGTAGCTTTGGGCCGAGGCTGTCACCTTCACTTCTAAGCGTGTCTGTTCGTGTGAATAGCCCTTAAATAGTTTCAGTATAGTAATCATGCAGAGTTGTTCGGTAGTTGTCGGATAGTATGTAAGATCGGCCGAAGGACGGCACATAGCCGTCGGCGGCGCTCGGGCGTTCGCCGCGGCCCTTGCACGTTCAGCATGCGTTCGGTGTATTTTCAGGTCTGATTCGACAAGTTTATTCATGTTAAGTTCAGTTAAGTTAAAATGGTCGATGTCTTTTCAGTTCGGCCGAGAGATGACCGAAGGCCGTATGCATCGCATATAGCGAGTGCACCACGGCCGAAGGTTCGGTTCATCAAGTCAAGTTCAGCCGTTTTCTGTTAGATTCAGTTTAATGGTCATTTCAGGTCATAACATGTTAGTAGAGGTCAGTTTTGTCGGAAAAGTTCGCCGGACGGTCGGCACGGAGCCGACTGTGGCCGCGCTGCCGCACCCAGCGGCAGCAGCGCCCCGGCCAGTGCCCAATGCGCCAGACAGCACGCCAGTG